TCAACCGCAGCGAGCGTCTCTGTGTTTACAGAAGTTGTCCAAACATGGACGCAGCATCGAGCACCTGGAGATTTTAAAGTTCCTCTCGTACCGGAGCCAGAACATGAACAACTGACTTGTTTTAAGGAGGAGATTGAGAAGGAGAAGGACGAGGTTTTTGGTCGTGGTGTTTTGTGGTTCAGTCCGTTGAAAGGAACGTGTGGATGTGGAGACGGAGCCAAGAGTGGTGAGTGGAGATGTGCTTCACTTCAGTCACACAGAGTTCATTAACAATTTTCACCTACTTCAGTGCAGAATAGTGACGTTTGTGTCTTGTTGATGACGTGTAGGTGGATGAATGCACTTTGACACATGTTAAAGATCAGATATGTATCAGTTTCAGGAGCACATATCCAAGTGTCCTGGGTCACATTTGAAAAAATCAGATCTGTGTGGTTCAGACTGTCATTAAAAGATCAGATACAGGAACATAGGGGCCAAAAAAATCAGATTTGCGTCACTTCAGGTGCAGTCTGAACGCAGCCATAGACTTCTGCATTGGTCAACTGGTATTTTAACACATTTTTCATGAGCAAACTGTTCTTGTTGTCTCAGGTTTGAAGGATGCCTTCTCTAGACGCATGTTTCAGCTCATTTCACAGATGTTCAGTAGCATTGAGATCTCCAGAACAGAAGAACACTCCAGAACAGTCCAATGTTCTGTTCTTAGTTATTCTTGTGTGTTTTTATCTGTGTATTTTGGGTCATTATCCTGTTGAAGACCCACGACCTACGACTGAGAGCAAACTTTCTGACACTAGGCGACACATTTCGTTCCAAAATACCTCGATAGTTTTGAGATTTTGTTGTATTTTACACAGATTCAAGACGCCCTGAGCCTGATGCAGCAAAACAGCCCCAGAACAAAACCAAGCCTCCTCCGTGCTTCACAGTGGGGACAGTGTGACAGTCTTTTCTTGGTTGTGCTTCATTTTTGCGTCTGTGAACATAGAGCTTATGTGTCTTGCCAAAGAGCTCCAGTTTTGTCTCATCTGTCCAAAAAACATTCTCCCAGAAGCTTTGTGGCTTGTCAATCTGCACTGTGATAAACTCCAGTCTCACTTTTTTATGATTTACTTTCAGCAGTGGTGTCCTCACATGAAGTCCACTTTGGCTCAAACACTGATGGATGGTGGGATCTGACACTGATGTACTTTGCCCTTCAACGTCACATTTCGTTTCTTTATAGGTTGTTCTGGGCTCTTTGGTTCCATTCGTATGATCCGTCTCTTCAGTTTGTCATCAGTTTTCCTCTTGCGGTCGCGTCCAGGGAGTTTGGCTTCAGCCCTGTGGACCTTAAACTTCTGAAGAACATGTGTAACTGTAATCACAGGAACATCACGCTGCTTGGAGATGATCTTATGGCCTTTATCATTAACCTGCTTGTCTCTCATTTTCTTTCTTGTCTCCTGACACAGTTCTCTTCTTCTCTTTCTCTGCTCCATGTTCAGCGTTGTGTCCATCATGTCTCCAAACACAATGACACATGTCGCCCTTTAAACAGACAGACTGACTGAGGACAAGTCTGAAGAACCTGTGATGCAGATTAGAGACACACTGAAGTTTAACATGTCCCTGTTGTTCAAATATTTACAATCTTTTCTAGAGGAACCATCATTTTGGTCCAGGCCAGTTTCATTATTTATTTATTTTTTAAATAATTCTTTTAAACAACAATTCAAAAACAGTCTGATTTTCGTTGGTTATTTTACAGGATTTTTTACAATAGCTTTTCTTAGTTTCAAGTTATTTCAGTGACCATTGGTGATTTTTCTTTCATTAGCAGAGGGGTACCAACAATTTTGCCCACGTTTGTATGTAGCATGCACTCTTAAAGTTTTTTTTTTTTTTTTTTTTAAAGTTATTCCCATGTATTTATTCCCTGTCTGATTAAGAAAATGTTCTTTTATGCAGAAAAAAAAGCAGCTCATTCAAATGTGCCAGTCGTGGTTCAACTGTGGAGATTCTACCAAATTACTTTGCAGAGTTCCTCGAGTTCTATGACACAAATCGACAAAGACTTGAGGAAATCACAGATGAACTGGAGCTGTGTAATGCAAAGACACAACGCCTTGAAAACCAGGTGAACAAGGGCAAAATGATCGTGAAGGTGGCAACAGGAGCTGGGATGATTTTAGACGTCTTTTCAGGAGGGATCACTTTAGGAGCTCTGACCGGATTCACTTCTACACTGGGACGTGTTGGGGTTGGAATCACGAGAACAATGAGTAACAGGAACAAAAATAAATCTAAGGTTAAGTGGAACGAGTTCACGGAAATCACCCAGGCTCTGAAAATGAAACTGGAGGAAATGATGAAAGTCTTGAAGGAACACATGGGCAAGCAGCAGAATGTACCAGACACAGAAGTGTTTCATTTGCTGAATTTAAAATCCAAACTTTCAGATGTAATGTTGAGTCTCAATAACATTTCAGAGTCTGAATGCTCCAAAGGGCTTAAAGATTTTCAAGACAAAGTGGAACTTTTCAGAGCCCTGCTCTGTGTGGAAATGCGCTAACCTCTAGACACGTCCACAGAGAAAAACATGCACACTTTCTTGAACTTCTTAGGTTCTTTTTAAAGACAATGCAGTAAAGTGTATTTACCTTGTTGACATGTTTCGGCTGCTAGATGCAAGCATCTTCAGAACTGTACTGTACTGCATTGTCTTTAAAAAGAACCTAAGAAGTTAAAGTATATAAGAAGACATAATGAACATCATTGGCTTGATGCATACTTTCTGTTAAAGGTGCACTGTGTAACTTTTCGGATGGGGGTTCATCACCTGCTTGTTTCTATGGATACGTCATTTCTCTGCCTGGAATGTTCCACAGTGTGACTTTAAACAGCTCTACTTTACATTTATTCAGTTACAGGTGCAGGTTTTACAGATCAAAAATACTTAAAAAACAAACATTGTGACTGTCGCCCTCACACAGATCTGACCTCACACTTGGTCTGGTTTGGTCTCCGTGAAGACAGAAATGTTAAATAGGTCACATTTTTCTATAGCGCTTTTCCACCTTCAAGGCTCAAAGCTTTACAACAAGGAACCACTCACCCAGTCACACACACATTCACACCACACACACACACATTCACACACACCAGTGCACACACACACTGTGGGCAAGGTGGGTTAAGTGTCTTGCCCAAGGACACAACGACAGCATTCATCTGTGGGAGCTGGAATCACACTGTGGAGTGGATCTGATCACACAGAGCTGGAATCATTCAGATCAGTGGGCGAATGCTCCACCAACTGAACTACTGCCGCCCTTAATGCCACACTGTGAGACATTCCAGACAAAGGAATAACATCGTCATGGGAGACAAGCCTCTGAAGCCTCCAGCAGAAAAGTTCCACAGTGCAGCTTAACGTACAATCAGTAATAATGTCAATGTTGAGAATGTCTCCACGGAATGTGTTCTGATCGTCTCTGCAGCGTCGCAAACACGAGAACATGATTCAAGATGTGATTTTAAACTGTAAATAATGTTACACGCTGCATGTTCTGCCTGTGACTAAGACCGAAAAAAATAAATAAATAAATAAATAAATAAATAAATAAATAAATAAACACACATGAAGTAATAATAACAATCTGTGTATCATTCATTCAACCAGGACTAAACCAGGACTAAACCAGGACTAAACCAGGACTGAACCAGACTAAACCGGGACTAAACCAGGACTAAACCAGGACTAAACCAGGACTGGACTAAACCAGGACTAAACCAGGACTAAACCAGGACTAAACCAGGACTAAACCAGGACTGAACCAGGACTAAACCAGGGACTAAACCGGGACTAAACCAGGACTAAACCAGACTAAACCAGGACTAAACCAGGACTAAACCAGGACTAAACCAGGACTAAACCAGGACTAAACCAGGACTAAACCGGGACTAAACCGGGACTAAACCAGGACTAAACCAGGACTAAACAGGGACTAAACCAGGGACTAAACCAGGACTAAACCAGGACTAAACCAGGACTAAACAGGACTAAACAGGACTCTAAACAAGGACTAAACCAGGACTAAACCAGGACTAAACCAGGAAAACCAGGACTGAACCAGGTCTAAACCAGGACTAAACCAGACTAAACCAGGACTAAAACCAGGACTAAACCAGGACTAAACCAGGACTAAACCGGGACTGAACCAGGACTAAACCAGGACTAAAACTGGGACTAAACCAGGACTAAACCAGGACTAAACCAGGACCAACCAGGACTAAACCAGACTACCCAGGACTAAACCAGGACTAAACCAGGACTAAACCAGGACTAAACCAGACTAAACTAAACCAGGATACAACCAGGACTAAACCAGAACTAAACCAGGACTAAACCAGGACTAAACCAGGACAACCAGGACTAAAACCAGAACTAAACCAGACTAAACCAGGACTAAACCAGGACTAAACCAGGACTAAACCAGAACTGAACCAGAACTAAACCAGGACTAAACCAGGACTAAACCAGAACTGAAACCAGGACTAAACCAGGACTAAACTAAACCAGGACTAAACTAACCAGGACTAAACCAGGACTAAACCAGGACTAAACCAGGACTAAACCGGACTGAACCAGGACTAAACCAGGACTAAACCAGGACTGAAACCAGACTAAACCAGGACTAAACCAGGACTAAACCAGGACTAAACCAGGACCAGTTTTGCCTCAATTACTCCACACTATGGAAATAAACTTGGTTATCACAGTAGAGACAGGTTCATGGTCAGATCTGTGGAGAGGCAAGCCTGCACGTGGTAAAGCTTTATGTTTTTGAGGTAATTTCGAGCTATAAAACACTTTTAATCAAACAAATGCAATGAAGACATGTTTAATGCCCCACTGTGGGACATTCCAGGTGAAGAAGAAAGACCCTCCACCTTAAAAGTTCCACGGCGCGGCTTTAGTTTACACGGTTCATCTCTGCAGGTCTCGTCTTTACCTTGACGTAGGCCACGATCTTCAGGGAGATGGTCGCCAGGTACAGGGAGTTCATGGCAAAGTCCATCAGGTTCCACCAGTCGTGGATGTACTCAGTGAAACCTCCGTCCCACATCTCCTTTATCTCCGCCCAAATAAACCCTGCAAAAAAAAACAAAAGAGGTTGCGTAAATATTTCAGTAACGCGTTTTTCTTCCACTCAGGTTTCTCTGAATCTGCCTGGACACAGCACATCTGAGCTTCTTTAGCAGTGAGTGTGTTTACATGCACATCAATAACCCGGTTATGATCGGGTTTTTTGAGTATCCCGGTTTCTTGATGGTGCATGTAAACGCAGTAACCCGGTTTCAGTAACACGGTTATGGCAGTGTCCTGGTTATTAGAAACCGTGTTACTGTAGCTGGTTTATTCCGATAGTAACCGGGATACTTGTGGCATGTAAACGCAGTATCCCGGTTACTGCAACACATAAGTTGAGTCGCATGCGTCCAAAAGACACTTTCCAGCCTTTCACCACAACAGTAGTGACATAAATAAATTGACCAACATAAATAATAGTGACCAAACGAGTGAAATGACTGTAAAATTAAAGAGCTGCGCTAAACCTGCACACGTACAATCTGCACTCGTGTGACGCTGAAAAAACTAAAACATGAACTATCTCCTGTACAACACACACACAGAACAGACTCACCATCATCAGCACCTCTTCTGTCACAGAAATAACACACATAATCCACAGAGTCGTGTCATTTAGTCCAAAAGAAACTGATCGCATCAGCGGCGCAAGGAGCAGTTGTTTTTTATCGCTGCTAACAGTTTATGCTAATTAGCCAAACGGTCTTAAAGGTTTGTATAGAGGATATTTTTAAGGGAAGAGAAATAATTTTTCAAATGTTGTGCATGTGTGACACCACCTTCCTCCTCCACAGCTCCTCAGTAGAAACATCTCCTCCCGCCTCTTTACTTTTAGAAATCACATTTGTTTTACAGCCAGTTCAGAATTACTGTTGAAGTTTCCTGTCTAGAAATAATTCCGACCGACGCGTCTTCAGTTTTTAGACCCTTCGTCTGCTTCGGTCGCGCCATCGCTGGAAGGAATCTCCAAGAATCACCTCAGTTTGTCTTCGCTCCTTTTCTCCTTCTCTTCTTCTTTCAGCGACCTCAAAAAATGGACTTTCTTTGGCGGGCGAACTGGTCGTGGATTCTCGTCCGCCATCGCGACAAACTTTGTGCGAAATGCGACGAAGCTACACTTTGAAAAAGCCTCTAAGAACCGCCCCATACACCACGAAATCCCCGCGCGACGACGAGTCAGTTACACTAGAAACGTAGGGAGTTTGATTGACGACCCTAACAGCCAATAGATAAAGAGGGAGCCTCGTTTTCTATTGGCTGATGTTTATCTGGCCTCAACACGTCCACAGTTGATGGATTTTCATTCTTTTTTTTTTGGTCATCATAATTACAAAGCTGCTGCGTCTCTGTAATGGTATTTTAAACTATTGTTGACAATCTGAAACAAAAAAAAAAATCCTCCATACAACCTTTAAGTTTCGTTTCTGTAAAACGTAAACAAATGTGATCACAGCTGAATGATCTGATCAACCGGGCTGATGTAGCTCTACAGTGTTTATGGTTTATATGTTGTAAAGTTGAGTTTATTAATGCAGAAGATTTTAATGAAGAATCTGTAGGTTTGATGTGTGCAGTGGATTGTGGGAGATCTCGTAGCTCCTTAGCTTCTTATGCTAAAGAAGCTAAGGAGCTACTTTTCCGTATTTTCCTGGTTTATGAAATTGATTTAAGTTCATTTTTGCGCCTGCGCATTTGTAAGATTATGTCAAGAAACCGGGATACTCCATTTGATCATGTACACAGGGATATGAGTGTCCCGGTTTCTCAGTGCACATGTAAACACAGTAACACGAACACTGACAGAACCGGGATATGGCTAATAACCGGGACACTGATGTGCATGTATACGCACTCAGTGACTTTTTGTGTCTTTCTCCTTGTGAACGGTCAGTGAGTGTGTTCGGGACGTGGACTTATGACTCTGTAGGATTTTCACACCAAACGTTCCCTCCTCTCCTTTTGTCTCACATTTTCGTTTCTGGAAGAGGAACATTTTTAGAACCAGAGAAAGAGGGAGAGCGTCTCTTTGTCTCGTTGTCTCTCCGAAAATAACATTCTGTTGCAGTGGCGGCTGGTGGTAACATTTTTGTTGGGGTTGCTTAGGCCAAAAGTATAAAAATATGTATTAAATGCAGGCCAGAAACATTTTGGTCACTACTGGCGGAACTATAACTATCAGAGCACAACACACAACCTGACACATTCCACACATCCAGCCCCAACAACGTCAGCAACACTAAAATAAGAGGCTACAAACACAACAAGAAAACTCTGCAGAACAACCGGAGCAGCTCCAGCACCGATGAGCTCATTATGCACTACTGAACTATTAACACTAAACACTATAAACACTATAAACACTATAACACTATAACAATATAAACACTATTAACACTTAACACTTATAACAATACAAATAACACTATAAACACTATAACACTATATAACACTATAAACACTATTAACACAACATTATAAACACTATAACAATATAAACACTATAACACTATAACCACTATTAAACACTATTAAACACTATAAACACTATTAAACACTATAACACTATAACAATAAACACTATAAACACTATTAACACTATAAACACTATAAACACTATTAAACACAATATTAAACACTATAACACTATAAACACTATTAACACAACATTATAAACACTATAACACTATAAACACTATAAACACTATAAACTATAAACACTATAAACACTAAACACTATAAACACTATTAACACTATTAAACACATTACACTTATATAAACACTATAACACTATATAAACACTATAACACACTATAAACACTAAAACACTAAACACTTAACACACACTATTAAACAATATAAACACTATAAACACTATTAACACTATAAACACTATAAACACTATTAACACTATTAACACTATAAACACTATTAACACAACATTATAAACACTATAACAATATAAACACTATTAACACTATAACCACTATTAACACTATAAACACTATAACACTATTAACACTATAAACACTATTAACACAACATTATAAACACTATAACAATATAAACACTATTAACACTATAACAATATAAACTACACTATTAACACAACACTATTAACACTATTATTTAACCATTTTAATTTGCTTTTCAACCAGGATGGTAAAAGGGGAGGGCACTGCTTCCATATCCACAAACATTTTGGCCACCAAACCTATTTTATCAACGAACTTTACAAGTTTGAACACCATTCAATTGTTTTAGCAACCCCCAATTTATGTGTCACGGTGTACAGCCACCAAAGAAATGCAATATTTATCAATGAGTTTTCTGAGTTTTATCTATTTACACAATTCTTTTTAATATGATTATTATAACCGGTGATTTTAACTGCACATAGATAATCTTTAGATCCTTCGCAAATGGAATTTTTAAATGTTCTTAATTATATGGATTTTACTCAGCACGTCACACAGCAACTCACAACAGAGGACACACTCTGATCTGGTCATCACCTATGGCTGACCACTAGTGTGTCCTCTGTTGTGACTTGGCTGTGTCTGACCACTACTGTGTGTTTTTACATCACTGGTTTATACAGCGGGAGACCTCTGTGAGAAACTGGAGGAAGCGCCGTCGACCCTGAATGGCTGCAAATTTTATCGAAGTTTAGATAAAAACCCCAATGGTTTTACCTCCCCTTGTATTTATTACTGACAATTTAACAGAAACTTCAGTCAGCTCTAGACCTGTTGCTCCACTCAAAACCAAAAACATTCAAAACTAAACTAAAACCTCCATGGAGAACTGAAGGCTAAAAGAATCAAAAGAGGTGCAGGAGGCAGAACGACGATGGAGGAAAAACAAAATTACAATAAACCCAATTATTCAGAAATCAACAACGGATATACAACGAAGCAATAAGAAATGCAAAAACCACTACTTTTCTACAATAATTACCAACACAAAATAATCCTAAGGTCCTTTCTCAACCATTTACAACATTTTAAACCCTATTTTAGCACGTTACTTAACACCACTGCTCTCTCTGTGAGCAGTTGCAGACCACTTCACGGTAAGATAAACACTATCAGAGTGATATATCTTGTCAAAGCTCTGTTTTAGTACATCTGAGTGTTTGTCTGGACCAGAGAAACACTGGACAGTTTTGTCCTGGTTAAGCTGAGATGCTGACAAAGTTTTCTCCTCAGTGAGGCCCACCACATGTCTTTTAGATCCATTCCTATCCATTTAAATCATTTTATGGATCTTTTAGGGATGAGCTTTTAACCATGATGAATTGCTCTCTTCAGACGGGGGTCTTTCCCACTGCCTTCAAAAACTGCAGTGGTGAGGCCCCAGCTGAAGAAGAGCAATTAGATTTTAACGATTTTAACAACTACCGACCAGTGTCTAACCTACCATTTTTAAGCAAAATTTAGAAAAACTTGTTTTTATCCAGCTAAATAATTTTTTAGATGCATCTAACAGTTGGAAAATTTCAGTCTGTTTTAGGGTGAACCACAGCACCGAGACCGCTTGGCAAAGATTTTAATGATTTTAGAATAAATTATGATTCACAAAAGGTAACCGTGTTGGTTCTACGGATCTGAGCGTGCCTTGACACAGTAGACCACACTATCTTTTAACTCGCCTAAAAGACCTCGGCCTCTCCGGTGCTGTTCACAAATGGTCACATCCTACCTCACAGACAGAACATTTATGGTGAGGCAGACACATGCTCCTCCAGGGTCCATAAAATCAATGTGGTGGCCCCAGGGCTCCATTTTAGCCCTGTGTTTTTAATTGTACATCTCCTCTTGTGGTTCATCAGGAGACATGGAATCAACTTCCACAGCTACGCAGATGATACGCAGCTACATCTCCATGTCTCCTGTGACACCAGACCAATGGATGCTCTTTAACTGCATTCTAGAAATCAAAACCTGGATGCAGAAAACTTTCTCCAGCTAACCAGGACAAAACTGAGGTTTAGTCAT